GCCCCCAATGCTGATGCTCATCCGACTCTTGCCGACTCGGCAGGCGCCCAGCTTGACACGCTGTGTAACCAGTCAGATCAGCCCTACGCGTCGTGCTCGTCTTCCACTCACCGGAATCTATGATTATTTTTGGATGATCTTGACTTCGACCTTCCATGGTTGGCGCGCAAGATCTCCTTTGGTGGTGTCCCCAATTACGGCCCTGATCCCATCGCAACCTACGCTCTTCCTCTCGCTTTCCTTCAACCATGGAGCTATCGTCGGATCCGAAACGAATTGAACGAGTAGTGCTGGCCTGTATCCAGTGCCGCAATAGACACGTAAAGTGTGACTCCACACAACCCGCCTGCAACCGATGCAGGCGTGACGGGAAAGAATGCATCTATCAAAAATCTAGAAGAGGAGGTCTCAGCAAAGCTGCACTTGCGGAGCGACGTCTACGGCTGCGACAAGAACCCAAAAACTTGACCAGCGGAAAACTTCAGTTACCGGCGCCATCCACATCCGACCAGTCTAGCCTGGGATCCTTTGAGAGTGGTTCATCAGGTTCTTCCATACCTTTTCGTGAACGGAACGTTACCCAGCAAAGTCGAATGATTTTCCAAGTCGACAATGAACGACTCATCGATTTGTACTTCGAATATTTCTGGTCTTCATGGCCAGTTGTACTGCCTCTCCACTATCTGCAAGCCAGGCGCCTACACGGGAACCATGGAATGGCCACACTACTATCCGTCTTGGAATGGATCGGATCAATCTACGCCCCTTGGACTCCATCGAAACCCTACCACATGGCAGCATTAGAAGCTGTCACGTCGCCCGACCTGGCGCATACACCATTCAATATTCAAGCGCTGCTGCTATTTGCTCTCGCTGAGTTCCACAGCATTTCCAGAGCCGAGGCTCGTAAGCACCTGGATAAAGCTATCAAAATTGCATTAGAATTGCGTATGAACGAAAGAGACTTTGCTCGAGCGTATGGGGAAGGTAGCGCTGTACTGGAAGAGTGTTGGAGGCGAACGTTTTACGTACTCTATATTGTAGATCAAAACTTCGCCCTTGTCACCAACACACCCTTCTACACACTACTTCTCACATCGAACAACGTTGATTTGCCATGCGATGATGAGTACTTTGAGTCAGGTGTATGTCGAGATAGTGCGCAGATAGAGATAAGAGCTGACATGAGCAGAACATCCCGCCTTTGATGACTTGGGCTGAGTACCAGGCCCGTGAATTCGCAGAAATTGAGATCGTTTACTCTTCAATCGTATATCTTTATGATATCGCAATGATCATCGCTTACAGTAAGTACAGACCACAGGTGGACGTACTCAATGAGAGCCGTTATCTACTTCGTATGGTGTCTAACAGTTCCAGCCATGAAGTCCTTTATCGACACTGCTACATTTAGCGAAACGATGACCGAGAACTGCGACATGAAACTGGCGATTTGGTCGGCGATGCTGCCAGCTTGTAAGAAGGACCCGCTTCGACCCGATGGCCAAGTAGATGAGGTGATGTATGCCACACCGTCAGCCGGACGAAAACATGATCGCTAATCATACGTGCAACAGGTACATGGCACATATGTGTGCTGCGATGTAATTCGTTCCTCCATGCACTGCTACTGTCGTGCTAACAAGGACAGAGTAATCTCAACACTGCATAGGCCCTTCTCGTCACTACCTCACCTTCCTGAAGAGATGACCACGCAGTCTTTTCTGCCTCCTTCTCCCTTTACGCTGACACCAAAAACTGGGCGAAACACACATACCGCACGTGTGCTCAAGGCGACCGAAATGCATACCAAACTCCTCGCAACACCATGCGCTCTCGAAAAGCACAATGTTTTTATCATGTGCCTAACCGCGCAACTCGCGGCAGCACAAGTGTCTGTATGTACCTATCTATTGGATGGGCACGCGCTGTCGATAGCGCGGGATCGTGTGCGTCTCAGCATCGGCTTTCTGAACACAATGGGAACTATATGGCCACTCGGAATGAAAATGGCGAAGGAGGTTCGTGCGATTGCACGGTCAAATCTTGCCGGTACCTGCGTCCAGCATACCGTGAGCGTGGATATGGAACCTGCAGTGGCTGAGATCGACTTTCCGCGCGACGACTTGGGGTGGCCTGTTGATCCCTCAGCGCAGATCGACATATACTCTGGCATCGTACTGCCTATCGATTGGGATACGACGCCCTTTAGTTATCCGTCGCTGACATCGTCTGAGTTGGTATGAGGGCGTCTGTCTGCTTGAGAATGGCAATCCCCACTCAAATGGTATCAATTAGTGATTAGCTCATCTTGTGGAACGCGTTCAGGATCAGCGCTGATCTGCACAACAAAGTGTGATGTGATGCAATCGCGTCTCCAAGTCCTGTTGGAGCAATTGTTTGGTCAGACAGGACTAATCGCATTGCCTAAGCGATGCATGACAGCGGACTAACGCGACGAACATGTCAAACCACACCGGATGCCTGTCCCCACCACTTCTCTCAAAAGGGCACGCGAGCACCCCCATCCTTTGTCTGATATCTCCCCCAACCTTGGAACATTGGCGGACAATAGGCCACAGCGACGCGTGTGGTTCGTTATCAGTTGCCCAGCAGTCGTATCTGTGTTACCGGCAGGGTAGCCGTCAACGTCATACCACAAACCGTTAGCTCCGTGCTCCATTGGCTCCAGCCCCCCGCCATGGATCTGCCCGCGGGCGACATGTTCAGAGTGGGCCCCCTTGCAGACTCGTCCGATGTCGAAGCCGTAGGCCGTCGACGAATTTAAAGCATGAGCATTTCCCTTCCGTGGCAAAGTCGTGGAGATTCTACGTGATGACGGATCAGAATTTCGGCCGGATGCATTAAGAACGCGACGCTCGCTGCCTTTTTCTTCACCATCCCTTCCTCACGCAATTGCCGCCATCTTGCGTTTTTGACGCGACAACCGTTTTTCCTGACGTGGAGTCATCGATCATCATCGTTGCTTAATTCTCCGAGCCACTATTAGGCGAGGACGCCTGACGACACCATGAGCGACATCGAGAAACAGTACGACCCGGCTGTGCCTGATGCTGCGAAAGAGAGCGATGAGATTGGCAGGCAGCTAGAGGGCATCGATCCCGTTTTGGAAGCGAAAATCGTGCGCAAGCTGGATCTTTTCGTCATTCCGGTGGTTATGCTGCTGTACTTGCTCAGTTTTCTGGACAGGTGAGTTTGGATCTTTCTGATTAGTGCGTCGTCTATCCAGACTGGATGCGATTGGGAGTCTGCAGCAGCTTGTACGAGAAATTTGCTTACGCGATTGCAGAGTCAACATCGGTAACGCCCGTCTATATGGTCTACAAGAAGATCTAAATATGGGAGATTCTCAATTCCAGACAGCCGTCTCTATTCTGTTCGTCACGTATATCCTGTCCGAGGTACCATCGAATCTGGTGCTGAAGAAACTTACGCCCTCGCGATGGATAGCCTTTATCACTGTCGCATGGGGTATCATCGCGACCTTGACCGGTATCGTGCAGAGCTACGGCGGTTTAATTGCATGTCGTCTTCTTCTTGGCGCCGTGGAAGGAGGGTTGTTCCCCGGAATGGCCATTTACTTGACATTCTTCTACACCAAGCGCGAACTTGCTCTACGCATCGGATACCTCTTCGTCTCTGCTGCCCTAGCTGGAGCCTGCGGCGGACTACTTGCGTACGCTATTGGACATATGGATGGTACGGCTGGCCTGCGCGGATGGCGCTGGATCATGATCATCGAAGGTATTCCTACCTTCATCCTGGGTATCGCGACCTGGTTCATCCTGCCGGACACCCCGGAAACTGCCTACTTCTTCACCGCTGAAGAGAAGGCTTTTGCCGCCGCTCGCCTCAAGCGCCAGACAGGGTACACCAAGAAAGCAGCGGAGTTTCACTGGGAGGACGTAAGGAAGTGCGTCAAGGACTGGAAGGTCTGGGTATTCTGCTTTGCGCAATTCGGAAGCGATACCATGCTTTACGGCTACTCGACTTTTCTGCCGACGATTATCAGGTCGATCAACACTACCGCCAGCAGCGCGATGGTGCAGGTCCTTACGATTCCGTGTTACGCACTAGGTGCAATTACCTACTTGGTTGTAGCGCGCTTCTCCGATAAACAGCAAAAGCGCGGGCTTTACAGTATATTGCTCGGTGTGGTGAGTATCGTCGGATACGCCATGTTGATCAGCGATGCCAGCTCTGGCGTTCATTACGCTGGCTGCTTCCTTGTCGCAATGGGCTTGTATGTCTGTGTGGGTCTGCCATTGGCTTGGCTGCCTACAAACTTGCCACGATATGGAAAGAGGACCACTGCGACAGGGTTGCAGTTGAGTATCGGTAACTGTGCAGGTATCATGAGTGCTTTTGTAAGTTTATTCGCAATCTCTAGGCTCCATGTGGGAACTATGCTAACGGATCGCTAGATCTATCCCACGGCTGATCGCCCCCGCTTCGTCAAGGGCCACGGTATCACTATGGCTATGGTTGCCTTTGCTTGTATCTGCTACGCTGTTATGTGGTTCCATCTTGGGCGCATCAACTCGAGACGTGAGAAGGGTGAGGAAGAGCATCTCATCGAAGGGATGAGTGGTGAGGATGTTGCGGAGATGGGCGATGACAGCCCGAGATTCAGATACACTATTTGAGAGAACACATGAGATTCATGTTATGAGTACAGATTTGATCTTGTCGATGACAAAGGGCTTGTACTACTGGAGTCTATACGTCGAAACGGGTTGTTGATCAAGCAAACCTCACGCCAAGCAGTACTGTAGAGACTCTTGTTGCAAGATCATGTACACATTGGACTGCCTTACTGTGGACGTAGATATTGGGTGTACCCAAGATGAGTAACTTCTTGTCAACCTAACAGCCTTATGTATATATGTGATTGTGCCAAACTTTGTTCCCTGTCCTACTGGTGATCTCCACGTTATAGGCTCTGACAACAGTGTCGGCACTGTTGTATTCTTGCGGGCCTAGTCAACCTCCTTAATACTGTAAGCCTCTGGGGTCTTATGCCACGGGGCTTTACTAATCTCGCCTGGCTTCCTTCGATGCTTGACTAGAGCGCCTATCAAGTCGTTCGCGAAATCTTCACACGTATCTTTGACGAGAGACTCGAGCTCCCAACCTTTGTGAGCATCCCAGATCCAGAAATCTACCAACAATTTGCGTAGAGGACAGTGCGGGAGTGTGCGCTTGTATGCAATGCGAATCGAATCGTTGGTAGGATATAACCGCGACTTCAGTACACACTTTATCAGCGCTTGGATTACTGCGTCTTGAAACGTTGCATCCATGAGCTTCTCGCCAAGCAGGTATGACCTGATCAATAGTGACAGTGCTGCGGCCCGGTCTTCATCCAAGTCTGAATCCAAATCCGAGTTTGAGGGAGATTCCGAGGGGGATGTCTAAACAAGGCGATCGGGGGAAGAAGGTGGGAGGCCGGGAATGGGAGAGACATCGGACAGTATAGAGCAGCCGGAATCCTCTTCATCGACAAGAACGGCCACCATTCCACTGTACAGCCATTGTACGTACAATCGGACAATTTTGGGATCCTCGTCGGAGAGATCAATAGGGCGAGGAGTCGAAACGGTCCACTCTGGCTTCGTTGCGTTTTTGAAAAACAACGAGGTCTTACAAAGCACACTCTTATGAACGTGGAAGATACGGCGCTCGTATACCTCCGCCTTGGAGTCGTTACCAGTATCGCTGTCGCTATTCTTTTCGCTGCCAATACTGCTCTCTCCATCAATTGCGCCATTCTTGTCGACCATCGTACCAGAATCCTTGTCATTACTCTGGACAGAGATTGCAGACTTTTTCCCGGGATCTTGGACTGTTGATCCATTCTCACCGCTCACGCCTCCATTTGATCTCGCCTTATGCGGCTGCTCGTATTCTTTCTTATCGCAGTTTGCGTCTGCCACATTCGGTTCGACTGGGTCATCGCCGCCGCCGACCTTGACCATGAGTATCTCGCTGTCTATACTATGGTGCGTTAGTACCTCTCCGAGAAGCATGTGCATGTAGAACCTACTCGAGGAGATCGCGAGAATCAGCAACGCCTTGAGGTAGAAGCTTTCTACGCTTCGCTGGTCGATCGGTTTGGGGCGCCATGGTTGACGGGTCTAGCCTTTGGCAGTCGATCGACAGCGTAAGAAGTGCGAGATGATGTTTGGTTTTGCTGCAGGCAACGATTTGAGGTGAGAGCGCGCTCTCGCTAATCCGATTGCGCCGTTAGCGCTGCACGTTTGTACGCAGTGAAGGGACCGTGGTGCGATTGCTCCCAGGGCGGGCGATTTCGACCCCATGAAGACTGGGATATCCTTGGCGCAACTAGTGCCAGCGTGTTGAGTGTAGCTTACATTGAGTACTATTGAGCGTTCTTATCCTTTTGCTGCAACAAGTTATGCGGAATTAACACGTAGGCAATGGTGCGTAAGAGGCTGACGTGTAGTAGTCCTTCCTTGTCTTTGTTCGCTAAAGTTTACATAGTTTATGCAGGGGCTCCCACTCTTTTCTTATCATCGGGAATCTCGCAGAAGTATCTCGTCTGGGTTTGTGGGCAAGCCCATTGATTCATGTGTTTGCATTTGCAGCTCGATCCAGGCTTTTGTCGTTTCACCGCCAACGTAGCTACCAGATCATTGGTAAACTCTTCACCAGCCTCCTCTACGATATTATCAAAGCTCCAAGTCTTGTCTGCTAGGGATGCCAAAATATCCAAGAGGAGCTTTCGGATCGGAGAGTTCTCCATAGTGCCTTTGTACACGTCCCTAATCTTGTTCCAAGTCGGAAAACTATGCGCGTTACTTATGCAGTCCATGAAAACTCTGATCACAGCGTTCTGGAAGGTTGGATCCAGCATCCTGCCCCCAAAGAGATACTGATCCAACAAGTCGTGGGTCGCCATGTACGAATTGTTTGGAATCTTTTCATCAGGCTCTGGGCACCAATGTATTGCGATCCTGCCACTGTATAGCCACTGTAGGTACTGTTGGAATATACCATAGTTTTCTGTGGTAAGATCGATAGGCTTTCGAGTTTGGCCCCGCCATATCTGCTTCGTAGCAGTCTGGAAGAAAGCGGACGTTTGGCATAAAACACTCGTATGTACAAGTGACACACGCTCATTGTTCCGGTTCCCTGTGCCGCTTTGAACGTTGATTTGGCCCGGTATGCTGTTCAATTTATCAAGTTTGGGGGTAGGATTGAAGTAGTCCTCGATTCTTTTCTGTCGCGGATCGACCTTTGCCTCGGTCGGCCCCAGCTCGCCTGGCTCATCGTAGTTGAAATTCTTGATGCCGAGCCTGACCTTGATGATGTTGCTACTCAAGCTACGTTTGATTTGTCAGAATTCCATGAGCTCAAGGTTAATGGGCCTCGTACTCGGGTAGCTTGCTTATAGTGTGCGCACTCTTCGGGACCACAGGGCGCTTTTCCGGAGGTGCCATCTCACTGAATGGATATAGATCGGGCTTATCGAAGACGTGGTATTAAACGAGGGTCGTACACTACACTTATGATCGAGTGTAGTGCGGATGTCGCCGTGTTGCGCTCAAACCGTTTCCCAGGGGCTAAAAGGGTCGGGAGCTTGGATGGAATGTTGCAGGAGGCGTTTCAAGCGCTAACCCAACCTGGCTAACTGTCTGACGCGTCCGCGACGCGCCCGCGCACATCCTGAACGTAAACTCTCAGCCTCTTTTCCTTCCTTTGGCTGCTTTACGAAACTCTGATCATTATGCGCACATATCTACTGAGGAAGTCGGCTCCAGACATCTTCGGCTTGGAAGTGGGCAACCGACCAAATGACATGGGTACCTTCGAACATCGTAGCCACAATCACAACCAGAAACTCACTTCAAAGTGAACGATTCCACAATTCCACATCGAACAAGAGATAGTCTGCATATTCTCATATCGGCCTCCGGAGGTCAGCTTGGGCTTGAATAGACGCGATTGAACCAGGAAGCATCAAATTTGACATCCGCGAAGCTAAGCTTGAAGACATTGGAAAGCGAAACAATTTCGTAGCCCAGACGGAGCTTACGCGACAAATACCGATGTGATAGCTACCAAGCATACCATCTACCCTTTGTCTTGGCATCTCTCACGGGGAAATGGGTAACTTCCTCGTGTTTCGGCAAAACTGCAACGGTATTCCGCCTCTACGCAGCACCCTTCTGAAACCACTTCAATCCAGCCACTTCCCAATATGCCTCCACGAAGGCCTGGGGATTATCGCGTACATACTCATTGCAAGTAGCAACACCGGTCTTTTTGGCACAAGACTTATCCCACTCGGCGCCAGCCCATTCGCCGCAAAAGGCGGTGTTAAAGATTATCTGAAGATCTTTGAAGCGCTCAGAGAAGTCGCAGCCAGCACCACCGAAGTGCGCCATAGGAGTGCCCCAGGTTGATGGATCAGGAGCCGTGGTGTTCGAAGAGAAGTTATCCGTGAAGCCCGGGGAGTCGCGGGGGAAGAACCAAACTGAGATGCTGGTGGCGGCCCATTCAATGGCATAGACACCACCCTGCGCTTTGTTGAAATCGGTACCATAAGATGCGAGAGGCGCGGCACCAGTATTGTCGGAACTACCGCTACCGCCGCCACTTTGGATACCAGGCGTGGTGTCCGGAGCGTGGATAGAGCATCCGACGTTCTTCTCTTGGCCAGGAGCGGCGACGTCGCAGTCGTCGGTACTCAGAAGACCAGTAAATGGCGCATTGTTATCACCACCTACAGCACCAAATCCTCCTCCAGCCGCAGTCGAGTTATCAACAACACAGCCCTTGGTTGTGTGTAAAGTAACAGAGTTGCTTTCGTAGTCGTTAACACCCTCGAGGATATCGACTTCCCCGCCGTTCGGCCATTGCACTGAAGACGATAAAAGCCAAAAGGCTGGCCAAGTACCGCATTCCGACGAAGGCATATGACGAATATCTGCGATAAGTAGTCCATGATTCCAGCTTTTCTTGCTCTCAAGGCGAACAGAAGCGCGGCCAGTGGGGTCCTTGGTCGTATAGTCCACACCCATGAACACGGACTTTGTGTCCTCAAGGTAGCCTATTAGGCCCTGTTTGGTCGCATCTTCCTGATTCTGATAATTGACAAAGCCCTTGGTTGGGTCGGTTTCGTTGAAGAAGTCAAAGGCGGAGAAGAAGTTCTTGTAACTAAGATCGTCTGTTAGAGTGTACTGCCTGCTGTCATTAGCATGATCTCCGTGCGCGTCTCCTAGGATGGCGAGAGTCGCCAGGGTCGTAGTAAACGATAATTTCGTGCGCATATTTGTACCTGTGTTTGTTCGGCAAAGGTTTGTGGTAACGATGAAAAGTTTGTGAGAGAGGAAATGATTTTGTTCTATAGGTCAATTGTATTGACCACAACACAGTGATGCGACATTGTGAGAGGGTTGGCGTAATCCAGGAAGGACTGGTTATACCAAGTCGGAAGGTGGAAGGCGCGCCAGCACAATGCCATGCTGTTGCTGTTGAGTTCACGGCTGCACAATAACCTAGCGCTCATCTAAACTCTTGATGCGTCTTTATTGCGCTGTAAACTAACAATAGCACGGTGTTGCGAAAGTGAATGTGCCACGTGAACGACGGTTGGCGGTAAGAGAATTGCATTTCGTTGGGTTTACCATCTTCACTCTGACACCACTCAAATACAGAGAGAATCATTAGCAATACCATCGTCATCCTCTAAGTGTCACAAAAGATAAGAGATGGAAGTCATAGAAGAAGTGGAAACGGAGTAGGCCGGCCATCGATTTAGTTCATTTTGTGTGTGATATCCCAACAATATATAGCGAGACTAGTCTCTCCCGGATTTCATCATTTGCTCGCTTTCTCGTTTCGGGAGTCCTGCTTGAGCGGGTGTGATGTGAGCTTTAGAAGTCGTGAATGCGTCTGCTCTGCGCTGTCGCAGTAGTAATGGAGGAAGTGGATGGAATGTATTGAGCCACGGCATCGCAGTAAAGATCACCAACAACCAATCTTGATGGCACACTCAACGACGCTCCTGTGTAATGTACTTGTCGAACAGGTTTGGCATGTTTTCGGCAATCGTGGTGTTGTCACCATATGCGAGTCTATGGGAAGATGCAGTTAGTGTATCATATCCAGGGTCATGTCCGGTGTCTAGAAATTCTCCTACATGATCTTCACGGTTTCGTCCTCAACATCCGTAAGCATGTATGTTGTGCCATCCTTCAGCGTCAAAAGGTCAGGCTTCCAGATGCAGTCTTCGCTGTTGAAAACAGTGTCTTCCGACCTCTTCTTATTGGCAAAACTGTATCCAGCACCCGTGTACTTCAGGTTGTTTACGGCTGCGCCATGGCACACCGTGCTTGCGCCATTCGAGTTCCAGGCGTGAACTAACGTTTTGCAGTATCCATCTTTGTGAGTTCGAGTTTCCAGATTCCAGTTTGTAGGAATAGCGTTGAACGACCAAGCCCAGGATGTACCGCCAAGGCCATAGCACTTGTTGGGGTTGGCGTTCACATACGTGTGGGTAACCCCTTTGCAGTGTGACTCGCCGTGCGATTTGATATCGACAGCTGACACTGCAGCAGCGAGGGCCAGGATGGTGTTGAAGTGTTGCATATTGAGAAAGCGAGGAGAGCAATTATATCGTAGGGTTTGATGGAGCTGAGGTTCATGAACGACTGATCGATGGTGCGAAGAGGGTGCTCACAGCTCACACGTTTATACTTGTTTTCTCCATGCCTAGATATACGTGAGATGGTGCATATGCGTGCTCTGTCACCCGGCGTGGCCGATGTAGGATTCGGAGCTCTACATGGCGGTCGATAGAAAGCGGTTTGGCTTCATGCAGTGCAAGCATGGTAATTTACAACACGATATTGAAGCGAGAGGATGTCGTTCCTTCGTGTCTGGACTACGGCGCACACGGAAGGTAAGCGAAGCAAAGGTAGTTCGCTTAGAGCCTGAATTCTTAAACTTTCGCGGAAGCTGCTCATTAGGCACGGTTCGCGCCAGGACCACATATAGGCCCACTGTTATGGGGTCCAACTGCTATACTTCGCACCAGCGCTTGCTAATGCTACTCAAGGGAGTGACAAAGCTTTCCTTGACTTCGTGTACCCACTGCT